TGCCAACATTATTGGATCATATCTATACCGACTTGGCTACCACCACTACCACCATCACCACATATTATAGATGATCATGACGATGTGTAACTGTGTGTTTCTGACTAAGGATACTTATTGTGTTATTGGAGGATAATAACAACAACTGGGTATGAGCATAGACGATGAAGGTGTACGTGTCTATAACTACTATGGTTTTCCCTATGCCAACAGACCCTATTCCACAGATCACAAGTGCTGGACTTGATGCTTTCCTAAAAAACGCCGTTGAGATTACGTTGAACTCACGAGTCGCTGGGGCATGGGGACAGGCCGTTTACGCCTGAGTAGAAACATACGTGTTCGGGCCGTTTTCACGCATTTATTCAAATTATCGTTAATCGTTCCATAGTAAGGGCGAGATATTTTCGAGGTGGATCTGTGAATGATCGCGCATATGATGGTTTGAATATAAGCAACTGCAGCAGTAGCAGTAGCCTTTGGGCTCTCGTTATAGGCCTGTCGTAGTCCAGCCTAGATACAGTGTATTACGTCTAATCTTACCATTGTTGAATATATACGAGGTTTAAAGCTGTTAATGTAAGAGGATTATTCCGAGTCCTGTTATTCCATGTATGTCAACAGTATCAGCAGTCTTTATGATATATCTCAGTCTGGAACCTCAAGAAAGAGGTTCAGTATGATGATCATCTAAATGAGCCTCGTATCTAACCTCATCATATAACTACTGTATCATTATCATCGCGATAGTGATATATTCTAGTGTATGCTTCCCATGATGATTATGAGTATAGCATGATATGATCGGTGTTCTTGTTGTTGTACATCATAAACCTTTAGATCTACTACGTATTCCTGAGTAGCTCTATTATGCACTACTGCCACCTATACCTGCAGTTGTTGCTTTCCCCCAGTCCTAGTATCAACAATGGAAGGTGGATCTTATTTTCGAGGGACAGCGTCGGATCAGGATCCCTTCTTCAACAAGACTGGAGACCAGAAACTAATGGCTAAAATGAAGTTCCCTAAGAGCTTCGAGAAGTACTACTACTATGGGGCACATAGAAGCCTAGTATTATGAAGATCTAATCAACTGTAGTGTTGTCGCAATGTTGTAGTTCTCAAAGGCTACTACTACTATCTTCATAGTGTAAAGCTTCAATAAGAATTCGTTTAGTAAAGGCTTATCGAGAGTGTGAGTAATAGGCATACAAATCGATATTGATATGAATGGTGGCTACTATCCATTCATTATCTGCTCAGGTCAGTGGATTTAAATCGTATTAACGTGGATGTTCTACGTCCATGGATAACGGATCGTATCACTGATATCATTGGTACAGAGGACGAGATAGTCATTGATTATGCTATAGAACAGATCACTGGTACTCCCGATCATACAGAGGTAATCCTACATCGGCAGCACGTCACGGTAAGTGGCATAGGTTTTGGTGCTTAGGTTGATCCTAGGGAGATGCAGTTGAGTTTAACGGGTTTTCTGCAGCGTGGTGCGGCACCATTCTGTGAGGAGTTGTGGGAAATGCTACTCAGTGCGCAAGTAAGTGGAATAATACTCTCTCCTGGGATCGAACCTGTAACTGATAGTGTAGGATTCCCCAGCGGGAGTACCTGCTCAACTAGTTGATCGTAAGAAGAGGGATATGATGAGGAAGAAGGAGGAAGCTGAGAAAGTGAAGCGAGAGATTGAGCAAAGGAAGGCAGCAGCGGCAGCGGTAGTGGCAGCAGCAGCAGCTACGAAGAAGGAGGAAGAGGTAGTACGATGAATAATTGGGTATATAGGGGTATATGATGGGGATATGTGATAGATCATCATCATCATCATAGTGAGGTTTGAATGAATTAATGTTGGTGTTAGGGCGATGTAGGACCATCAGTTTTCTGTCCGCATGCTTGGTACTCTACTTAACCGCCGTTGTGCGTAACGATTCCCTTCATATGATAATCTACAATATAAACGACGCATTAGGGATTTGTTCCTCATCAGGAGAGCGAAGCTGCATATTATCCTCCTCCACCACCAGGGCCGCTGCTCATCCCGACTGCTCCAGCATTCGACACCAGAGGTGAGTTCACCATCAAATCGATCACCAGGGCGAGCGCGGTTGTACATGATTAACATGTATGTTTGTATCCATAGTTCGGCGGGGCCCCATCAGACCTCCATCACCTGGTCGATCGAAGGTTGGTGTACCAGCGGCGACACCTCCGGGAGCAGCCCCTCCTCCACCTTCTGGACTAGATGATGATGAATCGTAATGTCCAGTCGTGTCTATAGTATTGATCGATGTCTATTAGTGGATCACAGGGATCAGACTCGCCTGTGAGAAGAAGAAGGAGGAGACAGAGGTCTCAGGATGATGAGAGGCGTGCCAGGTAAAAAGAAGCGTCAGGCAATCGATCAATCGGGCGTAGCGAAATGTGAATCGGGTCGATTTGTAGGGGTAGGCCTTCGTCCCGATCGCCTCACAGGGAGGAGGCGGAGCCGAATGGAAGGGAAGATAGATCACGTGGTTCAAGGAGACGTCGGAGTCGGAGTAAAATGCGGGTTGCCGGGATAGAACCTGGATGACTGATTACATTAGTCGATCGGGCCATCGACGAGATGACAGCCGCAGGCGTAATCATCATT